TGCCAAACAACAATGATGGCTGCAACCAAAAAATAAAATAACCAGGCGTTGTGGTGGGCGCCTGTAGTCCCAGCTACTTGGGAGGCGGAGGCAGGAGAATCGCTTGAGCCCAGAGTTGGAGGTTGGTGTGAGCTGTGATGCCATGGCACTCTACCCAGGGTGACAGCTTGAGGCTCTATCTCAAAAAAAAAAAAAATACTAACTGCAAAGAAAAATATTAATAAATTGGACTTTACTAAAATTAGGCATTTCAAGTGGGATTGCTCAACATTTAGCAGTCTAGAATGAATGTAGTACTATTTTTTTTTTTTTTTGAGACTAGATCTCGCTCTGTCTGGTGTGCTAGAGTACAGTAGCCTCATCATAGCTCACTGTAGCTTTAAACTCCTGGGCTCAAGCAATCCTCCTGCATCAGCCTCCCAAGTTGTTGGGACACCACCCACCGGGGTAATTTTTTTTTTTTTTACAGATGGGGTCTTGCTTTGTTGCCCAGGCTGGTCTCAACTTCTTACCTTAAGGGATCCTCCTGCCTCGGCCTCCATAGTGCCAGGATTACAGACATGAGCCACCACATTTAGCCTTGTTTCCATTTTAAAATGTTTAATTTAAAAAGTGAGCAATATCTTTCTCTTACAGGTGTGAGGATTACATAAAATAATGATCTAAAGCATTTGGTTCTTAGTATATGAATAGTCAATATTAATGAGTCTCCTGTCTTTAATCCTTTTGACATTCTCATTTCCTTGGAGTGGAGTTACAAGATGATACCAGCACGAATGGACCCATTCGTGAATCTATACCAACAGGTCACTTACACGCCAGTAAGGGACCGGCAGGAAGCGCAGGTCACAATCGTAAATTCCCTAAGGAATGGTGGCCACCTCGCCTTGTGTTTAGGTAAATTATAGGTTCTGGGCAAGAGAGCTGGCCGTGGTGAAATGGAGAAAGGTCTGCTCCACAGGTCTGCTCCACAGCAGAGGGGCCAAGGGCTCCTGGGAGAGCAGGAGCTGGAGGGGAACTGGGGAAACCTTCCTGGAGCCCCCACTGGTGCCACTTACTCCCCCAGCATGTGGCAGTCTGCCTCTGCTCTCCTGGCAGCCTGCTCTTCCTGCCCTTGGCTTTCTTGGGCCTGTTTGTGTTCCTGGTGTGGAGCCAGCATATTGCAGGGGCCCAGACAATAATTACTCTATTTCCTTTTTTTCTGAATGCCAGAACCAGCTCCTGTCACTGCCAGCTGCGGAATCTCAGAGTCCTGGTGAGGCTAAGAGTCTTTGCCTTAGATGTACATGGCTATAAGAAATCTCAGCGATAAGAAATAGAGTGGGCAACCATGTCCTTAGGAGGAGGCTCAATTTTCTATCTCCTCCTCTCCCCCTATTCCTGAGCAGGTGGCGGGCGGTGATGGGTGCATGGGGGTGGTTCAAACCAGAGCCACCGCTGCCCATGCTAGCCCCGGTGAGGGTGTGCAGTGGTGCCTGCCCAATGGCTGAAAAGCAGAGGTGGGGAGGCGCGGGGATGTGGAGGAACCCCTCACAGTGATAGCCATGGCTGTTGGCTATTGATGCCGGGTGCCCTCCGTGGCACTCTGGCTACGTGAAGTCCCCAACCAGACAGTAGGAGCTGACTCAGGTGGGATGGTGGAGTGCTGGTGCCACTATGGAGACACTGCAGTGTGGACACACTGGCCGCTAGTGAGGTTCTCCCTGGATCTTGGGCTCAGATCCTGAAAAGCCATGCTTTCCCCACCCCTCGAGGGTCTGGTCCACTCTGGATCACCAGTTGGAGGATGAGGATAAGCTGTGGCCCTGGGCATGAGTGCTACCCAGGGTGCTCCTCTCCTGCCCAAGCACAGCCACCTCTGAGCTCTAGACCTGGCAGACTTATCCAGAGACAGCGTAGGGTGAGGTCAGATGTCACACATGGGAGCATCTGAGAGCAGAGAAAGAAGGAAGGGGATTTCAGAATGATTGAGGCAAGGCTGGGCAACCTGGTGGGATGAGAAAGGGGCCCTTTGGAGCACAGGCCCAGGGACCCTTAGTCAGGAGCAGGCCACCAGAGTCCCCAGAG